TTTGTCCCTGATTTACAGAAGACACCCACTAAAATGTCATTCAGTGTAACAATCTTGTCAGGCATATTTACAACACAAATCAATTTATGACATATTAAAAGACTAATTACTTTCACCCCAAATACTAATTAGCTGTAATTTTACATTTTTAAAATGTGCCACTATCCTAGGTTTCGCCCGTTTGTCAGTAAGAATATTTTACTCATTTAAAACACAATAAAATTTAATATGCTCTCTTATTCTTTTATATATTTTAATATGTACACATCAGAATAAGCATGTTTGAATTTTTACATAATGTAACATTGTAACATTATTTCAATCAAATTTTGACATTTTATTCTCCAAAAACTAGTAGACACTTTACTTACATTTAATGTGCTTTCTATCAACATATAATCACTTTTCTTAACGTCTTTGACCCACGTACAACCTTTAAAGCCAAAGTCAAACAGGCTTCAACTCTGGAAATGTGAAACAAGTCTAATAATACTGTGAAGTTGATGTGTTTGAGTTCATTTGACGTGTGTGTGAGTGCTGATGAAGAAAAGACCTCAGGTCTCTGTGTGTGAGTTAGTGCTGCTGTGATTGAAGTGAAGTACATATACAGTAAACATGAGGTTTAATCTTTGAATGGCATGCTGTAATGTGATGCAGTGAAGCCTGAAGCATGAGATGTGTTCTGCGTCTGCTCCAGCAGAGGTGATGCTGTACGTGAGCAAAGGCACCTTGGACTCGCCGTGCGTTCAGACTACTGATCAGCCACGCAGACAAACATGGCGTCCGGAGGAGAGACGCTGATGATGAAGAGCTTAAAAAGTTGTTTTGCTGCACTTCATCAATAAGAGCTTTGACTGTGTGCAGACAGACGTCTTTGAAGACTGAGCTCTCAGTGTGCTCTGTCTGTCCGTGTTAAAGCAGACTTCTGAGGGAATACAAACGCATGTCAAAAACACAAGCAACGTCTTTGAATCCAGCAGATAACTCTTAGCTATCAGTGATGCAAAGACATGCAGAATAATCTAGATGTCAAGATAAAAAGAATTAAATCTGTGAGGAGGAAACGGCACGTAGTGAGTTTGATTTTTGCGGAAAAGCATTTAGAATATATTTATTTTACAGTGCTTTATACAATGCATATAGTTTTAAAGCAGCTTCACAGTGATAAGAGGATTTTATGCCTAGGATTTCTTGTGTTGTTTTAAGTTCCTTGTGAATTCTGTAAATACACGATTTATTTATTCCACGTTTGTCATGGTCTCATCTGTTTAAAACGCTTATTTTTTCCTCCCACGGTTTAATCTGACCCCATTTTAAACCGATCGTTACAAAGTTATTGTTCGTATACTATTGTTTTTTTATATTTAGAATTAGTTTTCATATTTTCTGTTTTTTAATTTAAATTGTAGTTAAAAATATTAGTAATTTTGTTGTTTGTTTTTGCCTTTTTTTATTCTTTTTTTTTTTTAAATGTCTATAGTTGTATTCATGCTTATTTCATGTTTTAATTTTAGTTATTTTAAGTTTTGTGTGTTTTTGTCATTTTATTTATTATATATGTCTACAGTTTTTTTTATTTTTTATAAATTTTAGTTATTCTAGTAAAAAATAATCTCTCTCTCTATACACACACACACACACACATTATATACTATATATTTTATTTTACTTACTTTTAGTAACAAAAATGTTTTTATGCTTTTATCTTTGTAAATGTATTTTGTAAATATTGTACATTTTGTGATGTATTTATTGTAGTTGTAATTTCTCTTTGTAATCTTGTATTTTTGTAATTTACCTTTTATTTATTATAGTTTTTATCTAATTTAATTTCTTGTAAATATTGTAATTTTTTTAATTTTATCTTTTTATTATAGTTGTAATTTATCTTTGCAAATGTATGTGTTAAATTGTGTTATGTATCTTCATTTCTTACAGCTGTAATTGTATCTATAATGTATCTTTGTTCTTCTAGAGATACAGTCTCTCGTAAATCCTCCGATGTTTTATCCACACTGAAGTCCCAACATTTACACGAATACATTTTCATATACCCACATACATGTATTAATATACTAATGAATGTAAGATCAAGTGATTTCTCTCCAAACTCGTGCCAGACCATATTCCCGTGCTGATCGGTTGGGTTTGATCAGTGGACATGATGATTAATGCAATAATGTGTTTGGCTGTCCAGACTCCTAAATAGATGATATCGGCTGCAGCTGGTTCAATAACTCATTTAACCGCCTACCTGATGGAAGAGATGTTAAACCCATCAGTGTCAGTCTTCATGTGCTGCTCGGGGGTCATTCGAAGTGCATCTCTTCACAGAAAGAGTAAGTTTACCCTTCACCATCTCCCTACAGTACAATACAGTCAGGAAGTGTTCAACAGAGAATCCATCTATTAACCCTGTAAAGCCTGACATATGGAATAATAGTTAGAATTATTATTTTTTTCTTCATATTTGCTCCATTAGGATTTTACGGCTCACATACAGTGAGAAACTCAATTTTATTCAGAGACTTAAACTGAGAAAAATATGAATTTGGTGCAGATGCTGATATTTCTATGTTGAAATTCTGATGCTTGTAAAGTAAATCAATGAGATCTTTATAACAGTACAGCAGATACTGGTATAGTATAGTGGTCACTGTATATCTCCAATAATATGTCTTGGTAAGATGATTAAATTATCCAAACATACAGTATGTAATGCAACCCAGTGCTGTTGAAGAAATGACAGCAAAAAGACACGTGAAGCAGCAGCTGAAGCTGGACGTTTCTACAATTACACTAAAAGAGCTTTTACTCTTTTAATTTTTTTTTGTTTGTTTGTTGTTTTCTCCCACTCTAAACTACCAATCACATGACAGAAGACATGCAATAGACTGTGTAATTGGAGAACCTTTAATATTCATGGAACCACAAAAGGTTCTTTATAGAAGAGTTTCATTGAAAGGTTCTTTAAGGAACCAAAAGCGAATCTATCTTTATAACCCTCACAACGCAATTGTGTCTGTTTTGACCCAGAAGAGATGCATAATATCTTAAAAATGCATAGATTTTAGTAATTAAATAGTAATATCTATGAAGTTACATTAGTGTCGAAAAACATATGTAAAATACATTTAGCCTTTTCTCCATATCTCACTTTTTTGTTGATGAACATTCATATTTGCACCTATTGACGAACCATTGCAGCCTTTTTTTTTCATCTGAAAGTTAAGGTTTATACAAGTAAAATGAATTTGAAATTTGAGCAACCCGAGTAATATTTGTTGTTTTGTTAAAAATAAATATGTAGGTTGCATACATTGACACGTTTTGAGCAATTATTAATTTTAAATTCGAATTGGAATTTCATTCATTCCAATGGGGTTATATTTACAATCTTTCATCAATATCGAGAAAAAAGGAAAAAAAAAAAAAATTTTGCATCATGTGTGGTTCGTGTGCAATTTAAAATGTCAAAGAATTTCTAATTTTTTAATTAATTAAAAATATGAAGTTATGATTATTTTATAAAATAACATTTCTTGGGGTCTGAACGGATCTGGAATGCGAAAATAGTACATATTTTGAATGCATCATGAATTAACAACAGCTCTGTGAATTAATTCATTGTAATTCAAATTCCTTGAATTCAAATTCAAACTGGGACCTGAATTCGAATTCAGTGATGCATTAAGCGTTCTCAGTGCGATTCTGGATGCTGCACAGTCTAAATGGGTTTTAGGTGTGTCTTCACTGTAATGCACGAGCATCACTTACTCCAGTCTCCATCTGAGACAGCGTCCCGTCGTTTCTCAAGTTCTCCATGTTTCTGTGTAGCTACATCTCTGGCTGAGCTTTAATGCAGTCAGTCCATGGTTCTCATTAGAGAGAGAGAGAGATAGAGAGAGAGAGAGAATCAAGACGCTGGGATTGATCAGAGGATCCAGATTCTCGTGTGCGTGATTAAATGCGTGATGTCCACCCTTGTAAGCACGTTTCTCCATCCTTTTGGGAAGCGCTGAATATCCGCGGTGTTTTATGGAGGTTTTGCGCGCTGGCGTCTGTGTCTCGTTCGGACGGTTTTTGTTCTTCTAATCTCGGATTTAAGGGTTTTTTCACCTTTTCTTGCAGATCTGAAGGTAAGCAGCTGTGTCTAATAATGCGTGTGTTTGGATGAAGATGGGTTTTTTCCTCCCAGATTTTTCTCGGCTTTCTATTCATCATATAGACGCGTAACCATCCTCTGAGTCACGAAAACGGCACGATCTAGCGATGCAGTGGAAAACATGTCCATGTCTGTGTAATGTCTTCGGTTTTAGCTGATTTAAGTGCAGGGTTTGTCCAGGCTGTTAGTCGCAGGACAGGAACGCAGTAACCGGGTGAAGCAGGTAAGATCTGACCGTCAGGGAATTAATAACCTACTTTACACATTCACATCGATTGCACAGCGTTAATGCCTCATCCTTTCTGAAAAACCTTAAATACTACGCTTTTCGACTCGTTTCGCTCATTAAGATGTAGATGGTGCTCCAGAAGAACCCCAATATAGCTGGTGTCATTGGTGACTTATTAGGAACGGCCTGTGCTTTAATGCAAAGACCCACTTCTATCAGCCCTCTGATGCATGCATGATCAAATCAAATCACCTCTTAATGATGCATTACAATTCAGAATAAGAACATGTTGTTTCCCGTTTTCGCGTCAAAATGATGTTTTTGAGAGAGTTGCACATCTATCCTGCAGTAGAGGTTCTTGGTGCATCACCACTTTTTTCAGATTTGTTTTGCCCATATGATTATGGGAACGAGTGGTTTGGATGATTATAGTGGTTTTTGGAGATCTGAAGTAGTGTAGTGGACATTTTCATCAAAGGGTTAAAATATATGGTTGATCATATGCAGTGTGTTGGGTTGTTTGCATTGCAAATTAATGTTAGTATCTCAGTGTTCTGTTTCATCAAGATGAGAATATAATAATTCCTGTTTTTTCCTTTCAAAATTATGTTTTTGAGAGAGTTGCAGCTGCAATCCAAAATTATATAGAGGTTCTTGCATTTTTTTCAGATAGATTATTAAAATGCTTTTAAAGATCTGACCATTGTAGTGGACATTTGCATCAAAGGGTTCAAATATACAGTTGATCATATAAACAGGTTTTGGTTTGTTTGCATTGCCGTTAATGTTAGTATCTTAATGTTTTTCCCTTTTAAAATGATGTTTTGGAGAGAATTACACCCTGCATTTGAAAATAATGTTGTTAAATATTCCAGAGGTTCTTGGTGCATCACCAATTTTTAGCCATGTTTTTATAAATAAAAACACACTATAAAGAGGACAGCCGTATGTAATTATGGGAAAGATTGGTTTAGATGATTATAGTGGCTTTTTAAGATCTGAGCATTGTAGTGGGAGTCAAAGGGTTAATATATACAGGTTTTAGTTTGCTTGCATTGCAATTAATGCTAGAATTATTAATGTGTCCTAATGTTACGTTTCATCAAAAAGTAAGAATAAAATATTCCTATTTTTCCCTTTTAAAATTATGATTTTAAGATAATTACATTCTGCAATTGAAAATAATATTAAATACTACAGAAGTTCTTGGTGCATCACATCTTTTCAGCCATGTTTTATAAATAAAAACACACCATAAAGAGGACAGTCATATGTAATTATGGGTTTTAGATTATTAAAGTGGCTTTTGAAGATCTGACCATTGTAGTAGGCATTTGCATCAAAGGGTTACAGTTAATCATATAAACAAGTTTTGGTTTGTTTGCATTGCCGTTAATGTTAGTATCTTAATGTTTTTTCCATTTCAAAATGATGTTTTTGAGAGGATTGCACCCTGCATTTGAAAATAATGTTGTTAAATATTAGAGGTTCTTGGTGCATCACCACTTTTCAGCCATGTTTTTATAAAAAAAAAACACAATATAAAGAAGACAGCCGTATGTAACAAAGAGTGGTTTAGATGATTATAGTGGCTTTTTGAAGATCTGACCATTTGCATCAAAGGGTTAAACAGCTGATCATATACAGGTTTTGGTTTGCTTGCATTGCCGTTAATGTTAGTATTCTTCATTAGTACTGGTGGTCATCAGTGATAAAGCATCTTTTTATATTCTCAACATGAAATCGCTGAACCAGCAGGTGGTACTACAGTATGTACATCTACATGGTGCATGAATGGAGATGCAATGTGAAAGAGGACTAAATCACCTTTAAAATAGGTGAGACGCATTAGTTTGATTGCAAATCAACAGCGTTTGTCAGCAGTATATGAGGTCTGATGATTTGCATTGCAGCATGAGTGTGTGAATTACAGGTGCATCATTATTAACTGTGTCAAGAGGAACAGACGCGTCCAACAAGGACAGAAAGCTTCAGCAGACAGGAGTAGAGTTGAAAGGCCACCCCTGCAGGGATAAGCAGCCACTTCAGATCGTTTCTAAAAGTGTCACAAAAGAACAGCCGCCGCAAGCATTACCTCAGGTTTGAAAGGATTGTTCAGCCAAAAAATGAACGTTTTTGTCATTTTTCACACAGTATCTTTCCATAGTGTCATTCATTTTTTTTGCAAAGATCATTAGAACATGTTTTATGTATATATATATAAAAAAAACTTCAAGATTTCAGGTTTATTTCAGTGCATTACTTGCCATTTCTTTGTAATTATTTGTGAATTTTACTAGCAATTTCAAAGTGAAAATTGTTTCAAAGCAGGGTTATTACTGGTAACAAACTGGAACGAAAATTAAATCCATTTATTTATATTCTAAACAGTTGATACTTTAAATAAAATAAACACTAAGCAAAATAAAATTAAATTAAACATTTTTATAAAAATATATATTTTTTAATTCAGCTAGTTGTGAGAAATATTTCTTAACTGTCTCATTTTAATGTACTAAAGTAGCTAAAACTGAAATAGAAATAGGCATATATTTAAAAAAAAATACAACTACTAAAAATGACAAAAACACAACAAAATTACTAAAACTAGCTAAAATGAAAATAAAAACTAAAACTGATTTGAAATGTTCATAAAAATATAGTATCTAAATGAAACTAAAATAACACCGTTTCAAAGTAAATCCTATGCCATTGTTTCAGTGTATGAGTAAAATTAAGAATAACAGCTTAATGAGAAAGAGATTTGAGAGCCTTGTTGTATGGATAAATCATTTCTCGTTTTTTGGATGAATAGTTCTATTCCTTTAAACACACATTATATTCTAAGCTTCACAAAGCATGCAGGTTTTATAGCAGGTGTTTTTAGTTTTTTTGTAAAAACATATTTCCTGTGTATTTTAGTATATGTTGTTTGAGCATGTTAATCTATGTTGCATGCATCTCTCATAATATGATCATATATGCACACAGACACTTATTGGAGACATGTAATAACATTCAATGCTGTCCAGACGTCTTGGACATTTCTGCAGGCAGTATAATTTAGTTATGCTCATTTATTTCAAAGGGCTCAGGGTTTGTCTGGTTGTGCTCATTAGAGGTCCCCTGCTGGTTGATGCTGTAACTACACCTGTGCTACATGGCATTCATAGCTCAGGTGAATGACTCGGTGAGCGTCAGGGAGAAAAGATGGCAGCATGCAGGTTGTGCACCAGCTTTGGCTAGAAATGTCTCGGCGTGAGTGCAGTATAAATGCATAGTAAAAATACTAATAATTCACTCAAAAATTAACATTTGCTGAAATTGTGTTCACCCTCAGATCATCCGAGATCAGGATGAGATGGAGTGCTGTGGATTACTTGTGGATTATTGTGATGTTTTTATCAGCTGTTTGGACTCTCATTCTGACGGCACCCATTCACTGCAGAGCATCCATTGCTGAGACACTGATGCAGTGCTACATTTCTACAAACCTGATGAAGGAAAAAACTCATCCCGATCTCGGATGGCACATTTTCAGCAAATGTTCATTTTTGCCTGAACTATGACTTTAATCACAAATGAGTGGGGAAAAAAATTGGAAATTGATGTTATTCTTACATTGAAATCCCAAATTCATCACTGCGTCTCAACGCATGCATTTATCCAAAGTGACTTACATTGCATTCAAGCTATGCATTCGCTGGGAAACAAACCCATGACCTTGGTGTTGCGAGCACCATGATCTACAGGAATGCATGAAACACACAAACAACCTGATCAAACATGTTCTAGTTAAAGCTGAGCAGGTTTGTTAAGCACAGGCGGACTGTAAACAAGCAGCATTGTTAGTTTTGAAGCGAATCAGCAGGTTGAGAAAGAACGAGGTGAAAACAGCGACACGGACAAACCTGTCAAGAACTGTGTGATTGTGATTGTCAAGGTTTTGTGTGAAAACTAGTTAAAAGTTTTGTGTTTGTTGCTCCCGAATCCTGCTGATGAGAATATTATATTCCTGAAAATTACATTTCCACACAGCTTGATGCTTTGCCAGCAGCCAGCAGAGACACGATGTACAGCACCTTTAATTGTAATTCTTTTAAATGAGCCTTGATTTGACTCATTTAAGCTCAGTTGTAGTTTATGTAATGCTCTTGTTTATGTAATGCATGATTCAAATTTTATGCAATTTATAACAAATTAAAAGTTACTCTTATTCAGCTTACACTGCAACAAAAAAAGAAAACATTGTTAACTATTTAAAAAAAAAATATTGTTGTCCTGTACAAATATCTAAGCATCCTTAAAGCAAGAAGCTAATTTGATATGTTTGGCTTGTTGTCAGAGAATCTATCTGAACTATTAGTGTATTTCGTCTTTGCATTTTATTCTCATTTAGTTGTATTCCTTTTTTCTCATTTATGCTTAATATCTTTATACTCCACATTCTCTGAAAAAGCAGCAATACAAATGCAAACTCGCACTTTATGAATTGTTGCTTCAGCTTGTTTACACTGCAAAAGGTCACATTCGTAAGAGTTTGTTCTTAGTTTTGTCTTTTTCATTACAAATATCTAATCATCCTTACAGCAAGACATTTACTAGAGAAGCAAATGCGATATTTTTGGCTTGCTGTCAGAAAATCTATCCAAAATAAGCATTTTTTTTTCTTTGCATTTTGTTTTCATTTAGTTTTATTACTTTTTTCTCTGATTAATGCTTAATATCTTTATCCTCAAGATAGATTCACTGAAAAGGCAGCAATACAAATGCACAACTCACATTTGATGTAATTTCTAACAAATTAATAGTTACTCATTTATTCTTACTTCTGTCTCTTTGTCATATAAATATCCTTAAAACAAGAAGCAAATATGATTTTTTGGGCTTGTCAGAGAATCTCTCTGGAATATAAATGTATTTTGTCTCTGGATTTTATTTTCATTTAGTTTTATTTCACGTTCGTTCTTGTTTATGCTTAATGTCTTTATGTACAAGATCGATTCACTGAGAAATCAGCAATGCAAATGCACAACTCACACTTTATGCAATTTATAAAAAGTTACTCTTATTTTTCTTTAGCTTGTTTACACTGCAATCTAATATCTAAACATCTTTAGAGCAAGAAGTGAATTAGATTTTAAGCCTTGTTGTCAGAGAATCTCTGGAATATAAGTTTATTTTGTCTTTGCATTTTTTTTAAAGTTATATTTCTCTTGTTTATGCTTAATATCTTTGTTCAAAATACATTCTCTGAAAAAATCAGCAATGCAAATGCAGACTCACACTTTATGTAATTTATAACAAACTTTTTTGCTTCACCTTGTTTACACTGTGAAAAGACAGAATTTATTCTTATGTATTCGTACAGATGTTGCAACATGCTTAAAGCAAACTTGACATTTTGACTCTTGCATTTTTTTATTTCACTTGTTTATGCTTAATATCTTTATATTCAAGATAGTTTCTCTGAAAAAAGAAGCAATACAAATGCACAACTCACTTTTTGTAATTTATAACAAATTAAAAGTTACTCTTATTTTGCTTTAGCTTATTTACAGTGCAAAAAAAAAAAAATCACAATTTATTCTCACTTCTGTCTTCTTGTCCTGTACAAATATCAAAATATGGCAAAATATTTACCAGAGATGCAAATGTGATATTAAGCCTTGTTGTTAGAGAATCCATCTGGAGTATATGTTTTTTTTTATTTTATTATTATTATTATTATTATTTTCTTTTTTATTATATATTTTTTTATTGTTTGATGCTTAATACCTTTATATTCACGATAGAATCTCTGAAAAAAAGCATTAATATTTCATTCTGTTTTGTCTGCAGGTAAATATTTTATGCTTTATAAGAATGTTTAGACATTTTAACTGTTAAACGAGACGAGGATCCTCATGAATAATATATTTTGTGTTGCTCAACATTACATAAGTGGACACCCACAGATGAGATGTGCCAAGCGCTGCAGATGTCTGGCTGACAGCTTTGTTAATGGCTCTGAGCGTTCAGATGACTGCTGAATGAATGTGCCAGATTTATACGGCCCGCGTTATTAGAGAGCCTGGACTTTTCTCCCTGCCAGCGAAGCCACTGAACATTTCATTCATTTTAATGGATGGTAAATAATACAAAGCCGAGTGTGTTTTTTCACAGCCGCTCCATGGGCTCAAAAACGCCATTAGAACTGCAGTATTGTGGTTTGGTGTTACTGTTAGACATTGTGATGTTTTAGGAGCGACAAATGCATTGAAATGCAGAGGTGAATCTGCTAAATGATGCTTCTGAGTCGCTCGTGAATGATGGCTGATGCACTGATATGTTGTTTGAGATTCTACAGGAGTGTTTGGAGATATTAAAGCAATCATATTTGTGTTATCATTCCTACAGGATGCTAACAATTTAACCTGGTTGGTGTTTTTGACTAAAAGAGATGCTATTTATTAACCACAGACAGCATTTTTAGTGAGTCTGTCCAGTTTAATGTGTTGAACCAAGAAGATATTCGGATAATCCAGAGATGAGATGACGGTTTTCAGGCTTTTGAAGAAATTCTAAGAGTAAATAAACTTAGTCGTGTGTGCAAAGACTGACGAAACAACTACCGATCACTGTCGAGATACTGTTTAAAATGAACACAAGTCATGAGACAAGGAAAGATCAATATTTGCTCGCTGATTCTAGCTGGTCTAAGAGCAGTGTGTTAATATGCAATAACTTTAATATTTTGAATTCATGTTTTCAAACTTAAATGGTTGTAAAGTGTTTTAATGCTTTGAAGCACAGACTTCATTAAAAGCATGAAGCATGATTTTTTATTTTTTTTTTATAAAAAAAAAAGTAAATTTTTATTTCACAATTTGGACTTTTTGTTCTTGCAATTTTGAATTTATATTTCACAATTCAGACTTTTTTGAAAAGTCAGAAGAGTGAAACAAACTTGCAATTGTGAGGAAAAAAGTCACAATTAATGTTTTAATTTTAATTTTTTTATTTTGTGGCGGAATAAACTGAATCGTGAGATTTAAACTGATCTGACTTCAGACTTTTTTTCTCACAATTCTGTGAAAAATATAAAAATTGTGAGATTTTACTTTTTTTTTATTATTTTTTTTTTTTTTATTCCATGGTGGAAACAAACAAACCAAAATAGAATTGCAAGATATGAAGTCAGAATTGTGAGATAAAAATCCTCGCCCTTTACAGAAATGGGCTTCCATAGATATCAACCTCAAATCTGGAAAACTTGTTTAGATTTATGTCTATTATTTATGTATATGTATACTGCATATGAGTCAAAGATGAGACATCCCATTTTGGTGTCCGCATCAAATTAAATTTACAAAAGTGATTTTATATAAACAGAAAGCCTATTAAATACATATCTACTTTAATGTTTCAAATAACTTTTGTGAAAATAAAATGTCAAAATATGGTTGAAATAATGTTCCATGGTCACTTAGCGTAACATATATATGTGACCCTGGAGCACAAAACCAGTCATAAGGGTCAATTTTTCGAAAGCTGAATAAATAAGCTTTCCATTGATGTATGGTTTGTTAGGATCGGACAATATTTGGCTGAGATACAACTATATGAATACTATATGTCCAAAAATAAATAAAATTAAATGATTAAACACTTCTTGCTGACAAATGGGTAAAACCTAGTGGTTTGAAGGACAGTGGCAAAGATTTAAAATCAATTCATTTGTATTTTGAGAGTCTTTTAATGATTCTGGTTGGTTACATTAATTATTGTTACACTGAAAGGCATTTTTTTCTGTAAATAATGGTACACATGTATGATAGTCATAATTTTTTGCTCAGAAATTTAAACCTGGATTAAACTTTATTGTTTTGATGCATGAAAGCCCCTTCTTGTCCTTGACCATATAGTGTCTCTTGCCCAGCCGTATTGAGTATATTTCTGATATAAATCATAATTTAAATGTGCTCCTCTCTCTCCCACAGGTAGCTCAATCTGACTGGAATCAAATCAGGATATACTTGTGTTTCTGAAACATGGCAGGCACCGTCTCCGTCGACTCGAGGGCCGAAGCAGCTCGTCTGAGGATCTGTGGCGCTTTGGATTAACAGATCTGCGGTCGCACATTTGTGAGGATTACGCCTTTGCTTTGCTGCCTTTGCCATGCTTTGTCTGAGAATGATCCTTCGGGTCGTCTCTGTGGTTTGGGGAGTTACGCTCGTCGTTTGTCAGCAAGCACAGTTCACCACCGTCACCACAAACTACGGGAAGCTGCGTGGATTGCGTGTGGCGATGCCCAGTGAGATCCTGGGCCCCGTGGAGCAGTATCTGGGGGTCCCGTATGCGATGCCCCCTACTGGACAGCGGCGCTTCCAGGTCCCGGAGCCGCCGGCGTCGTGGCCCGGCATCAGGAACGCCACGCAGTTCGCTCCGGTGTGTCCGCAGTATCTGGAGGACCGGCTGCTGCTCACAGACATGCTTCCGGTGTGGTTTACTGCAAACCTGGACACGGTCGCGTCGTACGTACACGAGCAGAGCGAAGATTGTCTGTACCTCAACATCTACGTGCCCACGGAGGAAGGTACACTTATTAAAATACATTACTTTTGCATATATCTATGTATATATACCATTCAAAAGTTTGGGGTTGGGAAGTTTTTTAAATGTTTTGGAAAGACGTCTCTTCTGCTCACTGAGGCTGCATTTATTTAATCAAAAATACAGTAGAAATTGTGATTTTTTTTTACTATTTAAAATAGCTGTTTTCTATGTGAATATCTGTTAAACTGTAATTTATTTCTGTGATCTGCAGCTGTATTTTCAGCATCATTACTCCAGTCTTCAGTGTCACATGATCTTCAGAAATCATTCTAATATGCTGATTTGCTGCTCAAGAAACATTTCTGATTATTATCAATGTTGAAAACCGTTGTGCTGCAAAATATTTTTGCGGAAACCGTGATACATTTTATTTTTCAGGATTTTTTGATGAATAGAAAGTTGAAAAGAACAGCATTTGTTTGAAATAGAAATCTACTGTAACATTATAAATGTCTTTACTGTCACTTTTGATCAATTTAATGCATCCTTGATGAATAAACATATCAGTTTCTTAAATAAATTTTACTTACCCCAAACTTTTGAACTATATATACACACACAGAGCAAAATTAAAAATATATAACTCAAACTCAACATATATAACTCAAAATGAATTATGCGTATATGAAATTCTTAATACAGCTGTATTAGTTTATGAAAGTTGTAGTTTTCTGTAGGGTTGCAAAAGGGGCAGAAACTTTCCAAAAGTTTCCAGAAAGAATTCTGGAAATTTACTGGAAATGTTCCACCCCTTTGCTGCCCTTTTTTTCATTTATGTATAAAGGTCTTAAGCAAATTTGTCTGAAGTACCAGTTTTGTTTTGTTGTAGTAGTGGATATGGAATAGTGGATGCTTATGAAAAAATATAAATTTACATATGAACCTTTTTCGTTTAATGTAACATTATGTATAATTATTATGAAATTATAAATGAGGACCGAAGTGAATTCTTGATGATGATGATGGATATGGATAAAAATGTTGTATAAAATACTAAAACCTTTATTTTTATTTATGCATATTTATTGGTACTGACTGACTTATATTTATAATCACTGGTTCTCATGCTTTATCCTTGCAAAGATTTTTTGCCGTATGGGATTGACTTCTTGACAAAGGATTCATGAAATGCTGCTGTAATATGTGGAACAGAAGCGTGTCTGTGATGCATTAACATGCTGTCTACTTAGGCCGCTCACTAGCTGTTGGAACAGAGCCGTTTTATCATCATATCCATGTATTCATGGGATTGCCATGATCTTATTTTCGCGTGTCGCTTCTTGTTTCTCATATAGACAGAAACTAAATATGCCGTTTATTCCTTAAGGAGATGGATTCATGATTTAGCAGTTGATGTCCAAACTGTGACGCTCTAGTAGATTCATCAGTAACGCAGCGCATCGCCTCGAGGAGCACAACATAATGAAACGCATGATGAACGGAGATGACAAACAAAACATTAGATGCAGAACTCAAGAGCTGGTCGTGCAAGTTTTGTTCACTGTTCTCAGTTCTCAGGTTGTAGGTCTTTCCAGGTTAAAATAAATCTAAAACCTGAAATACAATAAATGCTGTATATATACTGTATGCTATATATACTGTGTATGTATATATATATATATATATATATATATATATACAGGTGCATCTAAAAAAAATGTGAATATCGTGAAATTTTTTTTTTTTTGAGACTTTAGTCTTTGCAACTTTACAGATCTTCTTTATGCACCAAGAGCTTGTAACACTCCAAAGAGAAAGGAAAAAATGAAATCGCATCATATGACCCCTTTAAAGAACTTAAACATTTCTGTTTTGTAAATCCTTTTTTTTTATTGATCTTAGGAAATATTCTAACATTTTGAGATACTGGATTTTTGACTTTCATGAGCTGTAAGCTCTAATCATCAAAATAAAAAAAAAATAAAAACAAACATTTGAAATGTTTTACTTTACATGTAATGAATCTAGAATATATGAAAGTTTCACTTTTTGAAATAAGTTACCAAACATAATTAACTTTTTCACGATATTCTAATTTTTTGAGATGAACCTGTATATGTGTGTATATATATATTTATATATATAGATGGATATACTAACTAAAACTAAATAAACTAAATCTAATAAATAAAAAGGAAAAAAACTATATTGATGACTATGAAACTATATTGTCATATTTAAAAGAAAAAAAAATAAGAAAAATTATGCTAGTTGCTGACTTTTCAAAGAAAGTACTAAAAATGCATTTACGTATTTATGTCTTTAATTATTTTTTTAAAGATTTGTACTGATATTTGTGTAATAGTGATTGACTGATGGATTTAGATTTTTATAAAGTATCTATAATGATGCTTGTGATGTAAATCAGGGAACTCTTTATAAAAGTGCAGCAGACACTAACATAAAATGATATAAATATCAGCGGTCGCTCTATATCTCCAGTATAGTCTCAGTAAGATGAGATTGAAATGCTCCAAACATATAATGCAGTGATTGAGAGCTGAAGAAATAAAGGCTCCTCAGAAGATGTGAGATGTTCTGGAGGCTTGTGAAGATCATTCCTCCGCTGAGGAACAGTGAAAGTAAAGCTTCTGGAAACAAACGCTCCTCAAAAGATCCTGAGGATCAGATTTGAGACTCTAAAACATGATTGATGGAGAATCAAGTAAAGCTGAGCTGCTTCAGTCCAGTGAGTGTTCATCTGGAGATATTACTGCATTTATTCTGACGCTTACTTGATCAAAATCAGTCAAGATTTGACACGAGAAGAGTTTCTACAATTACACTAAAAGAGCTTTTACTGGATAAAACACTCTAAACTCTCAATCAGAGACAGAAGACGGGAGGAGATTGAGTGAAACAGCAAAGTTTTGATCATTTATAGGGTTAAAATGATGAGAGAGACTCACACCAGCAGTTATATAAATGTTTCCTTCAATGCTGTGTTTATGTGAAGATAAGTTGATTTTAATTTCCATGAGAATGGTTTGACGAAACTAGGTTTTCATAAGAAGCTTTTTTTAAACGCTCCTGGGAAACACGGTAACTTATAACAGTAAGCATCCTCTTTCTCATTAAACACTGTTTTATATTTCATACTTAATGGAAACATCAGCAGTTTTTCATAATTGGCCGGGTTTTGTCCTGCCCTCAATAGTGAACGAAAACACCCAGTTTTCCACAGCGCTCCAGTGTCTTCTGTTTTAATGGAGAACATTATGACTTAATGGACGTGATATAAAACACTAGTAATGACCTCAGACGACTCTATTAAGCACAAACACTTTAATATATTTACTCTAAATGTACACAGACTGAGATGAGTTAATGCAAGAGTTCATCTGTCAATATTTACTGCCGTCAGTTTTTATTTCTGCCTGATCTGTTCTCTTAAGAGACTGTGTTTGTTGCTTGTATTAAGTGATTTTTCTTTCTGTTTCAGATGCGCATGACGACACGGGCTTGAAGCCGGTCATGGTTTATATTCACGGCGGCTCGTATGTCGAGGGAACGGGGAACATGATCGACGGCAGCATCCTCGCCAGCTACGGAAACGTGATCGTCGTCACCGTGAACTACCGGTTAGGAGTGCTAGGTGAGTCGCTCGAAACGTATTAATGCATGCATGAGGATCTTATTTACACTGCTGTTGGAAGAAATTAGTACTTTAATTCGTCAGGGACGCATTAGATTGATCAAAAGTGCTAGTAAAGACATGTTACAAAAGATTTCTGTTTTTAAATAAACGCTGTACTTTTGAACTATCTATTCATCTGTGAATCCTGAAAAATAAAATGTATGATGCTTTCCACAATAATATTGTGCAGCACAACTGTTTTCAACATTGATAATAATCAGAAATGTTTCTTGAGCACCAAATCTGCATATTAGAATCAGTGTTATTTTAGTATCACTGAGATATAGTTTTTATTAATATATTGAATCAGTTTTTTTTGTTGGTTTTTTTGTAAAAAAATTTGTAATTTTGTTGTGTTTTTGCTATTTTTATTATTATTTTTTTTTTTTATTTTAGTTATTTTATTTCAGGTAACAAATTCTATTTTATGTTTTTGGTATTAGTTTATTATATATATATATATAATATTATTTTTATTATTTTTATTTTTTAATTTTTTTAGTTAATGGTTATTTTATTTCAAGTAACTAAAATGTTATGTTTTTAGTTTTGGTTAAAATATTTTTCATATATGTTTTATATTTTATTTCATTGAATCGTTATTTCATTTCAAGTAACAAAAATGTTATGTTTTTAGTTTTAGTCAAAATATTTTTTTCTTTTATATTTTTAATATTTTATATTATTTTTGTTAATGGTTATTTTATTTAAAGTAATGCTTTTTTAAATGTTTTTAATTTTTTTTAATTATAATAACCCTGATTAGAATGATTTCTGAAGGATCATGTGACACTGAAGACTCTGATGCTAAAAATTCAGCTTTGATCACAGAAATAAATTACAGTTTAACACATTTTCACATATAAAGAGTTATTTTAAGTGATAATAATATTTCACAATTTTTACAATATTTTTGATCAAATAAATCCACCCTTGGTAAGCAAAAAAGACTTATTTAATTTTGTTAGTATTTTTGCATACAAGCTAAAGATAATGAAACCTGTAAACACACAGTACGTAAGAGATGATGTTAGAAAGCCTTCAGATGTTCATTAAAGGATCTTTTATTCATTTTCATAATGAAGGTTGTTGGCTATTACAAGTTCTGCCAAAAATAGATTCCTCTCTATAAAATAAAGCTTTTATAATGCTGTGTCTTTGAACAGAAGAACACGGTGAGGATTTGAAAGCTTATTAAAACACTAAGAATACTTATAAACACGAACACAAAGCAGCTCTCGCAAGTGTTTTAATTTGCAGTCTAAGTGTGCAGATTTATGATTCATTCATTTTGAATCCACACATCCAGTTTATATTATTTATATGTTTGGTGCAGAGCAGTTTATTTCTGTTTGTGAGTCTATTTTTCTGAGTTTTGAATGCGGTGACCTTGGATCGTCCGGCTGTTACTGGCTCTCTTTCTCATCAAGATATTGAAGCAGATTTCGTTTGAAGGTGCTGAGGTCCTTGGCGCTGAATTAGAGACGAAAAAGCTTGCTTTTAACAGCATCCCTCTTTTAAGAAGAGAGCGTGTTCTTTTCTCCGTGTGGAATTAGATCCAAACACTTCCCAGAGGCCTTCAGATTCAGACCGAATGCACTTTTGGTCATTACCATCAGATCTTTTGTACCAAATGATGTGATGTTTTGAACAAAGCATGAACGAGCTGGATGGAAGAGATTGATGTCTCTCGAGTCCGTCATTAAACTCATTCATAATTGTTGTGATTACCAAACATTGTCCAAAAATACACTATACCAGTCAAAAGTCTGGAACAATTATGATCGATAATAAGATCATGTGACACTGAAGAATGCAGTAATGATGCTGAAAAGTCAGTTTTGATCACATAAATAAATTACAGTTTAACAGATATTCACATAGACAACAGCTGTTTTACATTCTAATAATATTTCACAATTTTTACAGTTTTTACTGCATTTTTGATCAAATGGAATGCAGCCTTGATGAGCAGAAGGTGAGATACTAGTATAGTTTTTATTAGTATTTTTAATTTTTAATTTATTTATTTAAATTTGAATTTGAATGAAAGCATTCGTCATTTTGTTTTGTGTTTTTGTTATTTTTATTATTTTATAAATATGTCTATAATGTTTTATTAATTTTTACTTTAGTTTTAGTTATTCTAATACATCAAGTTAAACTAAATGAAAATGAGAAATGTTGCCTCAGCAGCTAGCTAAAATAAAACAAGTTTAATTTTTGTTACATTTGATTTTATTTCAGTTAATGTTTGCTCTATTTCAAGCAGCAAACATGTTTCTCAAGCAGTAAATCAGCATATTATACTGATTTCTGAAGATCATGTGACACTGAAGACTGGAGTAATGATGCTGAAAATACAGCTGCGCATCACAGAAATACATTACAGTTTAACAGATATTCACATAGAAACAGCTGTTTAAAGTAAGATCATGTGACACTGAAGACTGCAGTAATGATGCTGAAAATACAGCTGCGCATCACAGAAATACATTACAGTTTAACAGATATTCACATAGAAACAGCTGTTTAAAGTTGCAATAATATTTCACAATTTTTACTGTATTTTTGATCAAATAAATGCAGCTTTGCTGAGCGGAAGAGGAAAAATAGTAGTGTGTATAAACTCACATTTGATTGATCTTAGAGTGGTTGGATGGATGTGGCTGCAGGATATTTCACATCCAAGGTCTAGAAGTCCTTGTCTCCTCTCTCTGGCTCCAGTACTTCAGAAATGATCACAGATTCAGTGTGTTTTAAAGGGCAAAACGATCCAGCAGGGACAGATCAAGGCTGGAGGTCTGAGGAGAAACGACACCAGACTAAGCCACATAAAGACTCCTCGTCTTCAGCCGACAGCGTCTGTTTGAGCGAGCTCTGTCTCATGAATCTCCTGCAACGTCTGATCCTTTCATAGAGAAATTCAGCTGACATTTCATGTAATCTCAAGGCTAAATGTGACCCTGGAGCACAAAACCAGTCATAAGGGTCAATTTTTCGAAATTGAGATGCATGCATCATCTGAAAGCTGAATAAATAAGCTTTCCATTGATGTATGGTTTGTTAGGATAGGACAATATTTGGCTGAGATACATCTATTTGAAAATCTGGAATCTGAGGGTGCAAAAAAATCTAAATATTGAGAAAATCATCTTTAAAGTTGTTCAAATGAAGTTCTTAGCAATGCATATTACTAATCAAAAATTAAGTTTTGATACATTTACGGTAGGACATTTACAAACTATCTTCATGGAACATGATCTTTACTTAATATCCTAATGATTTTTAGCATAAAAGAAAAATGTATAATTTTGACCCATACAATGTATTGTTGGCTATTGCTACAAATATACCCCAGCCACTTAATGGATGTGGCTGCAGGATATTTCACATCCAAGGTCTAGAAGTCCTTGTCTCCTCTCTCTGGCTCCAGTACTTCAGAAATGATCACAGATTCAGTGTGTTTTAAAGGGCAAAACGATCCAGCAGGGACAGATCAAGGCTGGAGGTCTGAGGAGAAACGACACCAGACTAAGCCACATAAAGACTCCTCATCTTCAGCCGACAGCGTCTGTTTGAGCGAGCTCTGTCTCATGATTCTCCTGCAGCGTCTCATCCTTTCACGGAGAAATTCAGCTGACATTTCATGTAATCTCAAGGCTAAATGTGACCCTGGAGCACAAAACCAGTCTATATTGCTACAAATATACCCCAGCGACTTAAGACTGCTTTTGTGCTGCAGGGTCACATTTATTTCTGTTGTAAAGACGGGCGTAAGTGACTGATCTACTCGGAAGATGTTGGCGATTGCAGATAACAGAGCTCATTTGAAGCCTGAAAGTCCGTTACGTCTGTTTTTCATCCCTTCTCTTTTAATCTTTCTTATGTTATATTCTCTAAAATGCTGCTTTGGAGTAAAACTGTATAGTAAAAACGGAACTGAACTGATCCTGAATTTAACTGAAATACACTACCGTTTAAAGAAGTCTCTTCTGCTCACCAGGGCTGCATTTATTTGATCAAAAATACAGTAAAAATTGTGAAATATTTTTAGAATGTAAAACAGCTGTTTTCTATGTGAATATCTGTTAAACTGTAATTTATTTCTGTGATGCGCAGCTGTATTTTCAGCATCATTGCTCCAGTCTTCAGTGTTACATGATCTTCAGAAATCATTCTAATATGCTGATTTGTTGCCCGAGAAACATTTCTGATTATTATCAATGTTGAAAACAGTTGTGCTGCACAATATTTTTTGTGACATTTTATTTTTTCAGGATTCACGTATGAATAGAAAGTCTAAAAGAACAGCATTTATTGGAAATTGAAATCTTTTTTAACATTATAAATTACTTTACTGGCACTTTTGATCAATTTAATGTGTCCTCGATGAATGAAAGTATTAATTTCTTTCAAAAAAAGTTGCTGACTTCTGAAACTTCTGAACAGTAGTCTATGTAATATTTTGGACAAACACATTGTTTAAAATGTTTCTAAAACATTAAAATATCCAGTTTTCTTGTCATGATTGTAACTGTATTTAAAGGTTAGAAAAACTACAAGAACTTTCTACCAACATTCTGCTAACTTTATTTTCACCCAAAATATAACATTATTTGAACATTTATTTTTAAAATTCTAAGAACGTTAAAATGTCCAGTTTTCTTGCCGTGATTATAACATTATTTAAAGGTTACAAAAGCATTTCTTAGAATATTTATCAAGTACAAATAACATCACAAGGACATTTTGAGAATTTTGGTCTCTCAACATTATGAGAACGTATATTAAATATTAATATAGTTATAAGAATGTTCCATAAACATTACTTTGAGAATATTTTGTCCTTTTAAAAAAAACTATTAAAAAAACAGAACATTCCCTGTTAGCTGGTTTACTCTTGTTGTAGTTGTTTTATTTTTTTCGCACTTGTGGTTTGCAGTATATTAACAATCTACCAAACAAATCCATTTCTGGATTAATAAACTTCATCATTTCATTTATTTCAAGCAACCAGCTGTCTAATCTAATCTGACTTTTGTTTCTTTCCGTATACAGTTCACTACATTGCAAATATTCTCCACCATATATTTGTATTTTCTACAACTTATGTAAATTTTTTAAAAATGCTAATATTAAATACAGTAAGCTGACTTTTTATGGTGAATATGCACAATATTTTATATTTTTATAGCGTAAATAATTAATCTTCTCATCTGCACTTCTCACTCGAGAAAACGTCTCTGATAGATTCAGCGTTGAGAAAACAAGCAGCACGAGGTGCGTTGAGCGCGTGATGAATGCTGCATCCCTCACGGCATTTTGCCACAAAATAAACAGATGATATCAGAATCCATCTCATTAGACATCAGATGTTAAAGAGCTCGTTTAGCTGCTTCGCCGTCATAGATAAGCAGGCACTTTTGATAGTGTAGAACAGCCGAGGCTTTGTGGTAATGACTGCATGGCTCATTGAAGGACTCCAATGTTTATTGCTCAGGAATAAATTGCCCAGTTGAAAGTCCTACATCACAGACGAGGACTTCAATTAACCTTTATCAAGCACTGGCCTGGAGTCAGGAGATGTATATGCATCACAGGTGAAGGTCAGCCAAAGAGCTTTTTATTTGTGCACGGCGCTGGAATTAATAATGCAGCGTCCTCAGAGATGCACCAACATGATTGATGAAGCCCATCAATAAATAACATACAGAAATGAAGCTCTTGTGTATCCACTGCACTTTAGTTTTTTCCAGGTGAAAGTACTTGAGCTAAAGGAAGACTAAACGCATTAACAGGTGTTTAGTGTCGCGCTAAGCCACCTGAACGTCTCTTCGCATCAGCACGCTTGTGACAGATGATAGTGTTGATCCTCGAGGGTAGATTGAAGGGAAATTAAGTTTGCTGTTTCATATCTCGAGCTGCTCATGATATTTACATTGAGAGCGAGTGTGGGGGATTTCAGACGTGGACAGAACCGCTGAAGACCAGTGAAATGAACAGACAATTAAAGAGTTAATGTTGATTATAGCAATTTTCCATGTTTTGTTTAAAGAAATGCCTGCATTAATTTTCATTGCAGACGCTAGTGCAGCAACATGTGATTTTTGTGAATTTCTAAGTTCATATACAGAGTTCTGGCATGAAACTCTAGATGGCGCAGTCCTTGTCAACTAACTGAAATAACATTTTTGTTTTATTTTTTTCTTCAGTTAACAAAAATGTATTGTTTTGTCTTTGTAATGTATGTCTACATATCTGTAGTTTGTATTCATTTTGAATTAATTTTATTTTTTATTTTTAGTTATACAAGTACTTCAAGTTAAAGTTTTTTTTGTACATATTGTCTTTTATTTCAGTTAACAAATAGACACACACATTTATTTATAACTTGTTTGTTTGTTTGTTTTTGTTTTAGTTAATTCAGTGATTATAAAATCTGCAGCGTAGTGTTCATAATCCAAATAAATCTCTTATAGATGTCTGTATATGTCCAACAGCTTAAAAACAGATGAATATCTGAACATGTGCTCTGCAGCATTTCCTGATCTCTCAGCTGTCTCTGTGTTTCAGGTTTCCTCAGCACTGGCGATCAAGCAGCCAAAGGGAATTACGGTCTGCTGGATCAGATCCAGGCTCTGCGCTGGGTGAAGGAGAACATTCAGGCTTTTAACGGCGATCCGGAGCGAGTGACCATCTTCGGCTCCGGAGCAGGAGCCTCCTGCGTCAGTCTGCTGACCCTCTCGCACTACTCTGAAGGTCTGCTGGAGATCTCAAGATGAAGTGCATGAATATATAGGACTGCATGATTAATCAAAATTCTGAAATCACGCTTTATGATTTGCATAGTAAATTCAGAGTAAATGCTGCTCTAAACTAACTTGTCAAAACTTGAGTTTTGGTCGTTTATAACATGTATTTGGGAACACAACAAATGCAAACCATCTTGAGATGAGAAGCGCTGATCAACAAAAGAGAAGCTTTAATGGCTCCCTGTGGTTTTTCATTTCATTTTTTTTTTGTAATCTAAAGTGCCTTGCAAATGGAAAATACAACAAGCCATTCATCTTAAGGAGGCAATACACACGAGAAGTGCAAGCAATACAAAGTTTCAAGTATTGTTCAGAATAGTACTAGCAAGAACAGGGAGGGTTTTCCATCAAAATAAAAGTTTGATGTTTTAAAAATGTTTAAAAATTAAGAAATTAGGACAGCCATACATATTGTAATAGTGTTGTAATTTTACAGTTGTATGTATATTTTACAGTATGTATGTATGTATGTAAAATAAAATAATTATTATATAATTTGTTAAATACTTAATTTCAGTGAAATATTGCAATTATTAAATAATAATAATTATTAGCATATTATTATTATTATTAGTAGTAGTAGTAGTTTGTAGACATATAGATATATAATCACAAAATTATTAATATTATAATTTATATATAATCACAAAAACAAACACAGCAAACCTGGATTTAAAAAAAAAAATCACAATCACATTTTTTTTTATCAGAAAAAGCTTTCTTTTTACAGTGAAATATTACAAGTAATACTTCTTATTGTTTTTAGAAAATGCATTATTTTATTAATCTTTTTATTTTTAATAGTAATAAGTATTTTTATTATTATTTTGTAGCCATATTTATATATAATCACAAAATTATTGATATTATAATTGACATAATAGAATAACATGCACTATAAACCTGGATTTTTTCACAATTTTTATCAGAAAAACACTTGATTTACAGTTAACAATTACAAGTAATATTTCTTATTTTTTATATAATTATTATTTTAATAACGTTTT